GAGGTGCTACTTCACGGTCAGGGCGGCTAGGATCTGGAACCAACTTCCAAGAGAAGTGGTGTGGGCTCCTACCCTGGGGGTCTTTAAGAGGAGGCTATACGAAAACCTTGCTGAGGTCTTTCGACCCCAGTACTTTTTCCTGCCATGCCAGGGAGTCCGACTTGATTATCTGCTCAGGTCTCTTCTGGCCCGACCAACTATGAAACTATGAAAGGAATGTCCCACCCAATAAAGGCTGTTTAGTCTGACCTCAGGCCTAAGTAAAATAATGGACCCACTAACCTAGTATTCAATCAACCAAGAATTAGAGTCTAAAATTGTAATTAATACCAATCAACACCACTTGCTGGAAAGTAGGCCGTTCCTTACATACCCCTTATCTTTTTTGAAAGAACTAAAGCCACAAAAAAGTGCTACTGGGATGATTAGGGAAGAGTGAATCTATTATACATGACAGACTAAAAATGCCTGGCATGTTTAGCCCAGGAAAAGGCTGAGAGGGACACCAGTGCTTTCCAGAAGCGTCTTCGGCAGTAACCACCTTCCTCTGAAGCATTAGAGGATTGATCACAGTGGGATACGGGAGACTGGATGGGGTGATATCCGACAGGGCAACTCCTTTCCAAGATGTTTGACTGGTAACACATCCTTGTATGCCCAGCACAGCTGCACGCTAACCCCCGTGCTGATGAGCTACTGCCAAGTCCGCACTTTGATTATCCAAACAATATACTTCTCTGCCAGTCTTTTTACAAAAGACAAACTATCCCACCCCCATTTTTGCTTATTACTGATCTTCTCAAAGTCATCTCAGTATTAATTCAAACCATGTAATATTGGACTCTCCGTAGAAATTATAGGGTTAGTCCCATGTTCTGTGCTATGCAGGGCAGCAGGCTAGAAGGTCGGAGAGATGGTATGGTCTATGGTTATGTGAATGTCCTAGATGTTGTCTCATCACTAGCTACCTCTTTGTTTTGTGATATGCAGGATATTCCTCTAGTCTGTTGTTAGGTCAGACCAGGCCAAGTCTGCTACTGTTACGACAGTAGATGGTACCACCTGCAGTTGTCAACACTGAGAGCTGGGCAGCGGGAAATAACCTAGCAATCTCTATGGTGCCAGTGGCTTCAGGTGGAGGAGCAACCTAGAGGAGGTACTAGCCCTTACCCCATTGGAGGAAATACCACCAAAAGGTGGATGCCAGAGCAGTCAACCCTGCCATTCCCAGCTTTGGTTGGCAACCAGTCTAGGGGTGGAGCTCTGAAAAGTGGATGAATTGAAGATCTTCATACCAGCAGCTCCTACAGCCAAGCTGGCTCCAAATTATTGGGCAGGAATGTTTCTTATTCAATATTATTTTCCTTACTTGTATTAGCTAATATTTTCAACTGGTAACTATAATGTTATATAATTTGCATCCTTCCATCTCCTCTGTGACCCTCCGTATTGCTTCTAGTTCCCCAGTAAAGCTTGCAGCACTCCTCAATGTTGCATCATCCATGAATTTAGGGAATGCTCTTCATACCTCATTTCTGCAGAATCAGGGAAGTTTTCACACAAGACTGGAACCTTTCAACAACTTACTAATTGCCTTCCTTCAACTGGATATATTGACATTTATAATTATTGAGTGTTAAACTGTCCTGTGGCCAATTTTGTGTGTGACTGTTGCTACCTAAGCCGTTTTTTGTGTAAGATCTCTTCAGACATTATATTAAATGCCTTGTTAAGACTCACTGCCTTCTGCCCTGCAAGACAATCTGATATGCCCTACCCATAGCCATTATTGCTTCATCTAAGGACGAAGGCATATACACAATTTCTGAACACAATACAGATATTTTTTCAGCACTCTGACATGCACTGACATACTAATTGTCTTATTTATATAAAGTGGAGGCAGAGTGGCTTTTCAGTGCTTTATTTTCTATTACAGCACTGCACTCCTGAGATCTGCTACTGACTACTGTACATTGTCTTCCCATAAATACAGTCATTACGGTGGCTGAGGAAGGTTAGCACTTATATACATATGTTTTTAATTCCACAGAAAAATGGTGGTACAAATAAAAGGCTCTACAGATGAAGTAAAGTAAGTACTGCACCTGAAATTCCAGTCATTATCATTTAAGTGCATCATAATAACGCTGTGGCAATGTAGCATTTCCTATGGTCCTTTCAAAAACTGTTGTAAAGTTTACCCAGAAGCATCCTATAAAAGCCATAAACATTCTTCAAAGAAGTCACTGTTGAAAGCTTTCTTGTTGGTGTGGGCTTTTTTTCTTTTTTCTTTCTTTCTTTCTTTCTTCCTATTTTTTTTTTACTAGCTCTCATAAAATAAATAATGAATTGTGCATCAAAAAAACAAGCCACTCAAAAACTGGCAGAAGAATAATATCAAAATCATTGCTGGAGAGTTTGACGTTTGAATTTTTGCATTTACAGGATCTTTAAGATATGCAGTGGAAGCAGGAAATAAACATGTCAGTATTCATCACAAAGTCTGTATTTAATCTCAGAGAAAGCACATTCTACAAATCAAATTCTTTGCAAGTTTATTTCATAAACTTCAACTTTTGCAGATTCTGCTCCCTTATTGTTCTTGGTGCTGACGGGAAGTTGCCGTGCTCTTTGGAAGGTGCCATGTGAACTTAGTGGAAAAGAACAGTGGATCGGATGTAAAAATATGCACTTTCATATTCCTCACTGTGTCCTTGTTGCCACTGAAATCAAATCTCAGTAATGTTCAGAGCTGCCCATCCTATCCTGCTGAACCTGTGACTGCAAGGGTCCCACAGCCAAGGGGCCATCCCCCACTTGCCTCGCACTGCCTGCGCCATGTTTAAAGGGCTCGATGTAGGCAGGGGGTCCCTTCCTGGCCAAGCGGGGAAGGAGTTCCTGGCTCTGCTTCTGGCCCTGCCCCTACGTATTCCCAACACATGCTTCCCCCACAGCACAGCCCATGTGCATGCAGCTTGGCCCTGTTTTATTTCAGAGAGTTTATACCACAATTAACCACAATTTTGATTTTTCGATGGATCAGGGGGCCCCAGAACTATATCTTGCAGGGGACCCCCAAAAATTGTGGGCTGGCCCTGGTATCATTACTGTTGTCCTAAGATTCCTGTATTTACTTATAGTCTTCTTTTTTGTATATTTTGCTGTCCCTCCCATGTGTCCTCTGTACTGTAGCAGGACTACCTGTGGCCAGTGGTAGTATCCAGAAGGCTTGCCCACTGCAAGGAGGAATTGTAAGGTATGTTCTTTCTTTTGGCCAGAATGTGCCACAAAGATATAATGCAAAGGCTGGAGCAATTTGCTGCTCTACTAGCTCAGGAGCTATTCCATTTTCATTTCCAGAGATAGGCCCATTCTTCCAGTAAGACTCCAAACCAACAAAAAGCCAAAATCTATGTATAATTCTATTGACATATGCAGTGTTGCAGACTGTAATAGTAGTACCCGTGTATTTTGTCTCTCTTTGTTAAGCATGTGCTGAAGGGCTTTGGAAAGCTAGTTAATAACATCCAAGATGCTGGCTTGTGGTGCTAGCAGTAAGTAGTGGACAGAAAAGAGAGACAGAAGTCCACCCTTTCTCCATCCTTGCTTGGCCTCTTCCTGCCTACTCAGACTGAGTGGTGCGTTACAGGATGATATTGCTTCCCCTCCTATCAGAGGAACAGTTCAAGTCACGATCTAGCCCCATGTTGATGGCTATACACAGAGTTTTCAGATCATCACAAGACTGCAAACCTCTGTGGGAACAGCATGCAATTTCTTCAATCCCAAGGAATTTTCAAGTCTTCAGTTACTTGCAAAGTAGAGCAGAAATTCCCAAATCATCATTCCTTTCCTTCCAATCTGCTACAATACCTTTGACCCATCCTAAGGTATATAAAGACCTGCTCCTGTATAACCCTCCACCCAATTAGAGTTGAAAGAATAATGATAGGGATTTTCATCCATAGACCTCAAAGCCCTTTACAAAGGAAGTCAACACCATTATCTCTCTGTTACAAATGGGGGCAGTAGTCAGAATCAGAACTAGACCTCTAGTCCCTTGAATCCCTGTCCATGAGACCACATGGCTTCTTGTGTTCATCATCCCAATTCCCAAATGGCTTCTATTAGCCAAAAAACCTAAGAATGGATGGCATCTAAGGTGGAAAGGTATTACATTGAATAGGGTGTCAACAAATGTCTAAAAAGAAATACTTTCAGAATTCTGAATGTAACAGATGATGTAGAATATCGTATGCTTGATAAACAATATCCTTCTAATCCTTTTGCTGTTTAACACAAAGGTAGCATGGCTCCCATCTGTTACAATGTGGCATTCTGCTCATCAAACGAAGGCTGCTCAAAGTTTCACTGGTGCTTATTCTTTCATACACCACTCGTGTGTATAAAATGGTGGGTTTCTGGAGGGACAAAATTTGCGTGTATGAGGGAGAAGATGATGGCTTGAATTCTCATCCAGCACAATTCCCCTACAATTGTCAGTAAGGAGGGCACTTTACTCCTAGTAAATAATATAACATAAAAAGTCTAATCAAGCTGGATGAATTACGCTGACACTTTTCCCAGCAAAAGCACTGATCATGTAACAAAGAGTCAACTAAATGCACGAAAAGCTATGCTGTGTGGAAGAGCTGTATTCTACTGTGTACTTACTTCAAATGAAACAAGATAAAAATAGTTATGATCATGATAGGCATAGATAGATGACTCCTTCTGTGTCAAAGGACATTGCTTTCAAGTTCAGATGCACAGGGGTTTATTATTATTCTGTAAAACAGCCTTTCTTTCCAACCCTCCACATGTTGCTCATCTCAGCTCATGAGCAATGATCACCCTTACACTGCATTAGATCAAGCGACATCAGCATTAATTAAGCGAAAAATATTCATGCTGTTCTCTCAAATAAGTTTTCACTGTCACATGGATTTGAGTCTTTGATGGAACAAAATATTGATCTCTCTCCTCCCTTCTCCTCCCTGAAAACTAAAGGAAAGACATATGGTCAGAGACCCTTTAAAATGATGGAAATGACCCTTTTTTTACAAATTGTCCTATCTGTTGAAATCAGGTAGATGACTAAAGCTACTTGTGGGTAGTATTTTAGCTTTATGTTTTAACTTAGTTAACTTAGGGGAGTGTTAATTTAGGAGATTGTCCAACCATATTGTTTTATTATCCGATAACATTGTTTCATTACACCGTTATTTTATTTTTGTTGTTATTATTTAGCCTATGTAACCAGTAGTGTCAGTGAGGAGTCAGCACTTTCCCATACAGAGCCATGCAAGACACAGAGCTGCCCTGTCATGCTTCTGTATCCACCCATAGTATATGCAAAAAACACATGTATGTATTTTGATGAGAAATAACACTTCAAGCTAAGGGTGACAAGATACGTGTTTATAATTTGCAGAACCTGCTCATATGATTGTTGTTACTTAATAGACACAGGCTGCATCTGCACAAGATGCTGACTGTGCAGTTGTTACTGCACACTCATTTAGGACTTGCATAAATAAGTACTAAATAACTGCGCAATAACCGGCATTATTGCACAATAACATCCTGGCATGGGTGTCTAGTGATGCTTACTGCATAGTACCTCGTAGTACTACTGCATAGTAGTGTCACATCATGGTTCATGCCTGGTGACGCTACTGTGCAATATTAATGAGCTCAAGCACAGTAGTAATGAGCTACTGTGCAGTAAGTGTCTTGTCTAGACGTGGCCACCGTTACTGAAACTTAAAAGCAAGGGGCCACCTAACTCTTCTGAGTGCCATACTACTGCCCCAACAACTGGACAATCTTTTCTCAGGACACAAAACTAAATAATACTAGCTTGGAAAAAGGGGTAATGGAGTTGTCCATAGCCTTTCTTTGCCTAAAAGAGCTGATCATGTGCATCTGGGTTATGATCTGACCAGTGGTGATATGTAGAGAGTGCTGGTGCATCCCCTGACCAGCCATGCTTGCCGCTTAGGTGACGGGCAGGGAGGGCAGGTAGTGAGATCGGCCATGGGGTACCCTCCCCAGTCAGTGGGATCAATTGTGGGGGACCCCCCCGGTCGCTAACTGGTTGCTGGGGGGGGGCACATGCCCCCCCCCGGCTAAGGCAGCACCAGTCGCCCATGGATCTGACCCATTTTTGTTGTACACTGCACTCACCCAGCATGTTGCTCATGCATAGGCAGATCTAGGATTGTATAAGAGGGGTGCAGATGGTGTGGTGCATCATTACATAGCACAACACATATTTTTCTCCAGTTAACAAGAAACTAGAAGCTTCAGTACTCTGCTACGGGTCAAGTGCTGTATTATTCAACTTATGATCAAAGCAAAAACAAATATAAGATTTTTGGAATATGCACTAATTTGCTATTATTATATGTAAAGTTTAAACAAACAAAAAACCAGGCAACGAATACTCAAAATATATTGTTTCATTACTATAATGACGACAGGACTAAAATGTACATCTCTTATTCAGATTTGTAAAATAAAATCTAGCTTTTGTCAGCATCTTAACAATGTATCCAAAATTCGCTGTCAGTCATTTCCACACCTGATTTAATATTATCACTCCTGAGTTAAGGATTTTAGCTAGAGCTTATCAGAGGTTTAGTGATGAAAGAAGCTGCAATAGTTTGAAAACATCACAAGAAGGCCGGACACCCTTGCCAGTACCATAATACAGGGTGCTGTGGAAGGAAAGAGAAAAGAGGTAGACCTAAAAAAAATATCTGGGGATCCAATATCAAAGACTGGACAGGGCTTCAACTGACAGAGTGCAGAAAGCTAGCCAAACACAAGTTGGAGGAGGGTTGTTACAGCATCTAAGGTGCCCCAACAGTTGCAGCGGCCTCAGGACTGCTTGATAAACAGTTTGTAGGCTATGAAACAGAAGAGGCATCACCAGTAATGGCTAATAGATAGCAAACCTGCAGGAGAAAGGATAGCTTGATTAATGGACCATCAAGACAATTAAAAACGAGAGAAGGCTATTAACATCTGTGGAGTGAAGAGATAATAGCAGGAATGATGTAGATTTGAATTCTGTAAAGTCAAGTGACTCCCTCAGTATCGCTTTATTAAAAATGCCTCTCTCCCTCCAGGCAGATGGTTTAAAAGTTTGGCTGGAGCAGGATTCAAAGAAAGGGCATGCAGCTGCACCACTGCTTCCCCACTGCACTCATGACACTGCAGCAAAATGTGGGTCTTTAATTGTACTTATGTGTATATTTGTCATGGCCCAAAGCATGATGGCTGTACTTGGGATGTCTTGGTTAGGTGTGCCCGCTCCCCACCCCCAGGCAACCCTCCCTTCATTTCTAGCATACTACGAGCGTAGAAACATTATTGTGGAGAAATTCCAGGTTTCATACACTACTACGGATGCCATTCCTGAGAGCACAGTGCTGTGAACAGTGATGTCTGAACTGCCAAGTCAGTGAACAGTCATAACGATGTGGGCTCATCAGACAGAAAGAATTTGTATTTGTGACCATTCCAAAGATATGTTTGGTGTATATGAACCCAACTGTTGTGATGTGTATACAAGGCAGCAAGATTTTTCTGAGAGAATCACTATATTAAAAATTATATTTGTGAAAAGAGCAGACTATGTCTTCATTCCATTAAACTGGAACAGCATTAGGCCTTATTTTTCCATTTTGACATATTCTTGAGCAATCTGCCTCACTCAGGAGAAGAAAGCAGTTCACATAAACAGTTCATTATTGGAGAACATATCTGGGGACAGAGCCAGAGGTAGGTCATCATCTGGGGCAAGGGTTCTGTAATGGGATACTGGGATGTAAACCCCCAGCTCCAAACTAGAGGAGCCACAGAAATCCTCTTATACCCATCTGGTCTCCACAATGTGGCCAACCTCAGTTCCATCCCAAATGCAAGTCTCCATCTCACCAGCTGGTAAGCTGACAAATGCATTTCATTAAATTGTATTGTGTAGAAAAAAAAATAATAGAAAAAAATGTTCAAGGGGAAAGATGCTTTGCAGCAGGTTGTAAAATCCATACATTAATTTTATTTCCACTGGTCAAAGCAAAAACAA